AAGGCATTCGACAAGTGTGACCATGGAGTGATAGCCCATAAAATGAGATAAATAGGAATAACGGGTAAAGTGGGTTGGTGGATTTTCAACTTTCTAACAGAATGCAGTGAGTGACGTTCAATTAAACAGGATCAAGCCCAAGTGCAGAAAAAAGCTCTGTACCCCCAGGGCCCATTCTTGCATCGCTGTTATTTCTCATTCTTATCTCGGATATAGACAAAAATACTAATCACAGCTTAGTGTCATCCTTTGCAGAATATACAAAAATCAGCATGAAAATTTCCTCTGTGGAAGACACTGAAAAACTGCACGCAGATATTAATAAGGTCTTCGATTGGACAACTGAATATAACACGATGTTTAATGGTAACAAGTTCCAGGTACTTAGGTATGGAGGAAACGAGGAAGTTAAACGAAACACAGGGTACAGGACACAATCAGACGTAGTCATAGAAGGAAAGCAACATGTAAAAGATTAGGGAATATATGTCTGACGATCTGACATTTAGTGAACATAACCGAGCAAACATAGCGGCGGCCAGGAAAATGATAGGATTAATTATGAGAACGTTCAAAACCAGAGACTTCACATAAATTCTAATACTATTTAAATCATTGGTGCTGTCTCGTCTTGAGTCTCTCAAGTGTCTCAGTGCTCGCTTTCCCTCTCAGAGCGGGAGAGGAATTCTCAATTCTCCAAAATGAATTTTGGAGAATTGATATTTCAATTACCATCGACAGTGAAAAAAAAACATAAGAAATATTAAGAAAATTCGTATTAGAATTATTAATCTTACCTTTTCGGTCATATTCAACAATATATATATATAAACATATATATATATATATATATATATATATATATATATATATATATATATATATATATATATATATATATATATATATATATATATATATATATATATATATATATATATATATATATATATATATATATATGCAACAATGATCACAAAAACACTGATCCAAGTAGGCAGAATAACCACATGTGAAAAATAGAAAATGCTTAACGCGTTTTCGGCTAATTCGCCTTCATCAGAGCAAAGTATTCTACTTTGCTCTGATGAAGGCGAATTAGCCGAAAACGCGTTAAGCATTTTCAATTTTTCACATGTGGTTATTCTGCATATATATATATATATATATATATATATATATATATATATATATATATATATATATATATATATATATATATATATATATATATATATATATATATATATATATATATATATATTATTAAATATGACCGAAAAAGTAAGATTAATAATTCTAACACGAATTTTCTCAATCTTTCGTACATTTCTTTTCACTGTTGGTGGTAATTCAAAAATCAATTCTCCAAAATTCATTACATTTTCAAAAACTTATTTCATTTTCAAAGACTTTAGTTTAAACATACACAACTGAATAGAACTTACACATCTCCGATTTGTTTATATCTACATTTGAGTGAGGTGGATGGGGTGAGGTGGTATTTAATAAGGTATTAATTTCATCAACACAAGACAGAACACTAAACAATGGGTATTGAATAGAAGTGATTGTAGAAAGCCTATTGGTCCATATTTCTTGATGCTTCCACACCGGAGCGGAGTCTCGAGGTGGGCAGAACACAGTTGTGCACCAACTGGCTGCTGATTGCTGGTGTTGACTTCTTGATGTGTAGTGCCTCGCAAACTCGAATTACCACCAACAGTGAAAAGAAATGTACGAAAGATTGAGAAAATTCGTGTTAGAATTATTAATCATACTTTTTCGGTCATATTTAATAATATATGTCTACAGGAAAGACTGCTACCAAAATATACTAATATATATATATATATATATATATATATATATATATATATATATGTCGTACCTAGTAGCCAGAACTCACTTCTCAGCCTACTATGCAAGGCCCGATTTGCCTAATAAGCCAAGTTTTCCTGAATTAATATATTTTCTATAATTATTTTCTTATGAAATGATAAAGCTGCCCTTTTCACTATGTATGAGGTCAATTTTTTTTATTGGAGTTAAAATTAGCGTAGATATATGACCGAACCTAACCAACCCTACCTAACCTAACCTAACCTATCTTTATAGGTAAGGTTAGGTTAGGTAGCCAAAAAAAGCTAGGTTAGGTTAGGTTAGGTAGGTTAGGTAGACGAAAAAACATTAATTCATGAAAACTTGGCTTATTAGGCAAATCGGGCCTTGCATAGTAGGCTGAGAAGTGAGTTCTGGCTACTAGGTACGACATATATATATATATATATATATATATATATATATATATATATATATATATATATATATATATATATATATATTATATATATATATATATATTATATAATATATATACATAATATATATATATATTATATATATATATATATATATATATATATATATATATATATATATATATATATATCACATTATATATATAGATCACATTAATCGATATAAAGACACTATATATATATATATATATATATATATATATATATATATATATATATATATATATATATATATATATATATATATATATATATATACCATAACTGATTAATTTATTATATATATGCTTTAGCTTTTGACTGGAGCACGTTACGTTGGTCTCTCCCGTGTCCACTGTTACACAGTTGTGTCACACATAAGTACAATATTTGCGAAGAGAAACTCTATGGACCTATGTGCATGCTGACAGATCTTTCCTATTGCGTCTGTACCCTGCAGTGGTCACCGGGAGTGCTGACCTCAACCGTGGTCCGCGACCCCCAGTGACTCACCACCATCTACGTACCCTACTTCACCATCTACGCCATCTGCTTCACCATCCCCTAACTCCCCACGCCGCCTGCCCCTCCTCCCAGCAGGCACCAATGCCCACTGTCTGATAAGGCACTAAACCATTACGTCAAGGCAGGACATTACACTCCTACCTGTTTTAATTTCACTTATATCACCGAGATTCGAGTTGGGGCCTCAAATACCTTACTTATTCCACCCACTTTGACCTCTTTGGAGTGCCATCTCCTCATTCGACTATCTTGAGGTTATCTTGAGATGATTTCGGGGCTTTTTTAGTGTCCCCGCGGCCCGGTCCTCGACCAGGCCTCCACCCCCAGGAAGCAGCCCGTGACAGCTGACTAACACCCAGGTACCTATTTTACTGCTAGGTAACAGGGGCATAGGGTGAAAGAAACTTTGCCCAATGTTTCTCGCCGGCGCCTGGGATCGAACCCAGGACCACAGGATCACAAGTCCAGCTTGCTGTCCGCTCGGCCGCTCGACTATTCACAAAATATTAAATATTTTGGTAAACAACGGTTAGCTCCAGTCTTTTTTATTTTTTTCCACAGGTGAGTACAATAACCCACTGCCTGTGACCCCCGTTAGCCAGCATGGGGGCTTCCTTTTCCTATGGTCATGTAAGCCTTACCCTGCTTTTTTTTTTTTTTAGAACGCGTAGACGCCTTGTGACTCCTGTTGGCAAGCTGAGAGCTTTCCCTTCCCATAGCTCATGGTATGCCTCATACCCACTATTCTAATGTGTGGCCACGTCTGTGGTAGAAAATAATAATAATAATAATAATAATAATAATAATAATAATAATAATAATAATAATAATAATAATAATAATAATAATAATAATAATAATAATAATAAAGACACTATTCTTCCCCAGAACATGAACCGCCAATCAGTTAACAACCAGGTATCCAATTAGTGACAGGTGAATAGGGGCAAAGAGTTAAGGATTGGTGCCTAGTCAATCCCTCCTGACCAAGGCTCCAGCTCATCACCATGGACTGTGAAATTTAAATCATATTAATCGATATAAATACTACTTCATCCCCCCCCCCTCCATCCCTAACCTCCCCCACCAGGTGGGTGGGGCGAGCACCTAGTAACAGATACAAAGAGGGGGGTCTTCGAGACCTCCCGATCCTGTGGGGTGGTGGGGAAAGGGGGAGACATCACCAACCTACTCAGGGACGATCCGGATTTTCCCGGTGCTTCGCTTATGGGACCGTTGCCGTCTTGTGCCGCTCCCAGCTGGTCTCCTAGACCCTGGTGCTAGAGTCACCAGCAACTTCCCCTACTCGTCACTGCATCTCAGATGATGTCATAACATGGGGAAAGATTCATCAGGAAAATACTAAGATTATAGTTGCGTGGGGTGAAAACATGAGACATATATCCAGGCTAAGTTATAATGGGTAGAAAACCTCTAGAATATACCCAGGTTATGATGTAATTGGTTACAAACAAAAAAGAACTCTGGAAAATACCCTGGTTATCTAATAATGGGTTTAAAAATAATTGAAAGCTTTGTACCATGCCTAGGCTAAGTTATAATGAGGAAAATGGCTGAAGAAAGTACCAAGATTATGTCATCACGGAAGAAAGACAACAGCAAAACGTCCAGGTTATTGTTCCCAACTGGCAAAGCTGGCTTGAGCCGCATGCCAAATCCTTCCTGGTATCTGCCGCCATGCTTAGTCTTCAACTTTTTCAATTAATTTTATATCCTGCACTTACTGCTATTTTTACTTACTCCATGTCTTTTGCAAACCTAATATTCTACCTCCTCCGTGACGTACACGAATGGTGACAAAATTTAAGCCGACAGTCAAAAGCAACAATTCCAGCCCAATTCTAGACAGGAATCAACACGACCGCTTAAGCCAAAACATATTAATCAAAGCATTCAATCGGTTGGAAAAACGGCTCATTTCATTAAATTCTACAATAACATAACACATATTCCTTCATCTAATTTTCAAATTATCACCAAGGAAGCTTGTGGCATTCGTTAATTTCTGATGCCACCATTCCGGTCGGTGCACGGAAACTCTCAAGACGTTTTAAAAGTAGTGTTGGGCGCTGCGTCTGTTAAGATATTCTACGTGCTGAGCAGCGTCTTGTACTGTGCATGTAAAGAAGAAGTGTTGAGAGGCAGCGGTGCGCGTCCTGGGACATAGTTGAGGACGACGTCTTCAGGCACGGATCATCTGAGAGGTTGTTCTCTGTGTGTTGTGTACTGGACGTTAGTACTGTGTCAAGTACTTCACGACCGTACTCTATGTCTTGAACTGGAGGACCGCTGTTTAATGCAGTGTACTGGACAAAGCACACCTAGTATCGCGTTCCCTGTGGGTTCTACAAGCCCAGCGATAGGCAGCTCGTGGTTCTCTCCCTTGCAACAACTGTATGTAGAACAAAGACAGCACAAACATTATATATTGAGGTCCCTATAACCAGTATCACTGAAGTAGAGTAGTGCGCTCCCCGGGACATAGACATGTATAGCATTCAACGACACAGCGCAGAGATACTTAAGGCCCAGGGTATAGCCTCCACCGAGTCAATGGCGAGTGCTTCCCTTGTGTCAACTGTGTGCAGAATTAAGCAGTACAGCAAAGAAGCATTTAAGACCAAAGACTACACTGAGGTGAGGGAGTCTTCTTTATGTTTAGAATAAGTTATTATGTTGACCCAACTATACACTAGAAATTGAAGAGACGACGACGTTTCGGTCCTTCCTGGATCATTATCAAGGCGATTGTGGTTCTGGCAGTCGATTGTCGACTTGATAATGGTCCAGGACGGACCGAAACGTCGTCGTCTCTTCAATTTCTAGTGTGTGATTTGGTCAACATTTTTCAGCCACGTTATTGTGACTTTTCATTTACAATAAGTTATTATATTTAAATTTTGTTCATAAAAAATTTGTTCATAAAATTTATGAACAAATTTATGAAATTTGTTCATAAATTTTTTTCATAAAAAATTATGCTTTTTGATAGCATAAATTCGCCTAAAGGCGAATTTATGCTATCAATTTATTGGGCATCGTGTCTCAGCCCGTGAGAGACCTTGCCACCGTGACAGCCTCTTTGTCCTCTTACACCAGGAAGAAAACCCGCTGGCTTGTTCATCCTGTCAATTGTACCCAGATACAGCTGGGACTCACGTAACTGTTTCAGGTGAAAAATTGATCAAGCAAGAACATTAGTGTACTTGTCCCCGTGCGTTAGTTGAACTTTCTTCACTAGCAACTTCCTCCAGTATTGTAAACGGAGTTACACAACAATCGCACAAGCTCTTCCTTGGAAACAAACCGTTAAACTGTCTCTATTTTCCGCTTGTTACAACTTGTAATAAAGTTGTTACATCTTGGCTTAACGTGTTTATGACGTATTAAAACGTTGTTACAACTTGCTACATTGGTTGTTATAACTGGTTAGGAAATGTTAAAACGTGTTCGATCGTTGTACCAACGTCGTAGTTTCGGTGTGTGTTTGGTGGGCTTAGAGCAGTTATTAGTTGTGGGGAAGAAATATTTGAAGAGCTTGCGTAGGAAATATACGCATTCGACCTAACAGCGTCATTACCAATAAGCTCGTCTTAAATTCTTACGCAAGTTTGAAGGTAAAAACGTACCATTTGTCCGCTTTTTCGCCATGGGAACAGACTGCACATATACACACGCACGCACATATACACACGCACGCACATATACACATACGCACAGAAACAAGAAACGTTTCATGTCTAGCGTTCCCTCGTCTTTTATGTTACCTGGAAATATGTTCCATAATTCAACAACCTTATCTTCAAACCAGTATTTACTCAGGACATTTCTGAATCTAAACTTTTTCATTTTATATCCGTTGTTTACCATTCAAAACTCAAACTTGCCAAGCTTGGAAACTACGAGGAAAAACGATGGATTATTTAGTAATTTCAGCTTAGAAATTTCCTCAAGTTCTTTTAGCCAAAAGACGCAGAGTAGGAAAGAAAAAGATGCCCAGCAACTTTTTTTTTATTAATACATGAGGTACATCTGCAGTTGGGCAGCTTTCTTAGACTATATGAAGGGGAGTACAGTGTGTCAAAAAGTTCCTGATGCTAAAAAATCCCCATCACACGAAGTTCTCGTCCTTTAGAAAGGTGAAAATCCCCGCGTGATGAGCCAAGAATGGACGCTGAGAGACGTATTAACATCTTGTCTTGAATGCAGAGCCCAGTCACACTATACCACCTTCCCACTTTCCACCACAGCCCCCCTGGGCCCCCTTGTGGATCATATAGAGATATCTCTCTCTCTCTCTCTCTCTCTCTCTCTCTCTCTCTCTCTCTCTCTCTCTCTCTCTCTCTCTCTCTCTCTCTCTCTCTCTCTCTCTCTCTCTCTCTCTCTCTCTCTCTCTCTCTCTCTCTCTCTCTCTCTCTCTCTCTCTCTCTCTCTCTCTCTCTCTCTTAGAGAGAGAATATGTCCTTAACATATATGGCAATATATGTTAAGGACGTATCCTTAACATATATTGAAATATATGTTAAGGACGTATCCTTTTTGGCACCAAAATTTCTTTAACATCTATACACAAAGAACACTCGAAATATATTCGACTGTCTCATCTGTTATCTGACCTGCAAGTAGGAAATGTTCTGATCCTTCACACTGACGAATCACACGACTCAGAGACATGAACATTCATGCACACCCTGACTCACAAACGAGATCAGATTATGTGTTTAATAATTTGTGCAGTTTGTTCCAAATATTCGAACAGGAAACAATTCGTCTAAAGGAGGTTATATATTGTACAGACGAAATGCAGAGCTTAGCTTCAACATAATTGACCAATACGAGGCAGGTCCTATTGTCCCATACCAAGCAGCCTGTGTTCCTTATACTATCCGGACTGTTTGAACTCGTGGTAAGTGAAGCGAGTAATCCAGTACTAATGTAATGAGGCATCACTGAAGATCCTCATAAACACTGCTCAGAGCATTCTTGGGGAGGGACCAGAAGGAAGCCTCAGTGCGCCCAGAAGGAAGCCTCGGTCCGGCTAGAAGGAAGCCTCAGTGCGCCCAAAAGGAAGCCTCGGTCCGGCTAGAAGGAAGCCTCAGTGCGGCCAGAAGGAAGCCTCAGTGCAGCCAGAAGGAAGCTTCAGTGCGGCCAGAAGGAAGCCTCGGTGCCGCCAGAAGGAAGCCTCGGTGCGGCCAGAAGGAAGCCTCGGTGTTGGCCAGAAGGAAGCCTCGGTGCGGCCATAAGGAAGCCTCGGTGTTGTCCAGAAGGAAGCCTCGGTGCCGCCAGAAGGAAGCCTCGGTGCGGCCAGAAGGAAGCCTCGGTGTTGGCCAGAAGGAAGCCTCGGTGCAGCCAGAAGGAAGCCTCGGTGTTGGTCAGAAGGAAGCCTCAGTGCGGCCAGAAGGAAGCCTCAGTGCTGCCAGAACCAACTCAACATTCACAGTCCCAAGTGTGACCATCATCTACCAAGCATCTGGCAACCAATGTGGCTGGACGGGCGCCGGCCCCAGGTACCTCCACCTTGGTGGCGGAGAAACGGCAGTCGTCAAATCACTGAGATCTTTCTCTCTATTTTTGTTTTGTTATTAGCACACTTAGCCGTACCTGCCTTTATGCGGCTACAGAGCTCTTTCAAGCTCAACACGGCATCCTTCTGCTGTATCACCGGCTAAATAAAAGAGTTTTTGTTTTGTGACGAGAGAGATAGAGAAATTGGTGAGGTATTGAGTGCGGACTTAGTCCGCCTTGGAGTACTACGCAGTTGTGTCAACCAGCTAATATTTTCTCTCAGTCGCCTCGACTACTTCTGCCTCGCTTCAGGAATGTGATTCTTCCTATGGATGAACAGGTTACCCATCCACTACCTTCAGTGAGGTGCCCAGGGTAGTCATTGCTACAGTCAAGGGCATGAAGAAGATACCCACCAAGATTGCTGGGTTGAGGCAGTAGTTTAAAAGATGTTGAACATACCCAGCTTCTAATTCCTCAGGTATGGCTTGAAGAAGAGTTACACAGCCAGTTTTTTATCTTGTAGTTGAACTCTACAAGTAGTTTTATGCCTTGTAGAGGAACTCAACAAATAAATTTATTCCCTGTGATCATCCTGCTAGCAGCAAAGGGAGACGCAATAACATTTGCCAATTCAGGCAGCGTGCACTCAGCATAAGAGACTTAATCAGTATTCTGACTATACAAGCGTGACGACACTGCCAGAGCCACTCTGCAGTGTTAGCCCATATGTGAGACCACAAAATTATTGAAATGAATAAGTAAATATATATATATATATATATATATATATATATATATATATATATATATATATATATATATATATATATATATATATGTAAACTGTAGAACTGTAAAACAAAGGAAAGGAGTCCTGACTAGTGGACTGCAAAAGAGAGAGAAGTCGTGACCAATGAACTTTCAAGAGAGTAGAAGAGTCCTGACCCACCGAATACAAAAGCAAGCTGGACTGCCAGTTGTGTCGCAGAAAAAAATTGCCTAATGTGAGCAAGGAAAATGGGCCCATGAGCTTAATGAAGAAACAGCTTGAAAGGTTTTTAAAAAGTTCCAACGAAATTCACATAGGAAGATTGAGGTGAGGTGGACGCTAAGAGGCCGCGTGGGGCGAGGAGAAGAGTCAGGAGGGGTGAGGTGGACGCTAAGAGGCCGCGTTGGGCAGGGAGAAGAGTCAGGAGGGGTGAGGTGGACGCTAAGAGGCCGCGTGGGGCGAGGAGAAGAGTCAGGAGGGGTGAGGTGGACGCTAAGAGGCCGCGTGGGGCGAGGAGAAGAGTCAGGAGGGGTGAGGTGGACGCTAAGAGGCCGCGTGGGGCGAGGAGAAGAGTCAGGAGGGGTGAGGTGGACGCTAAGAGGCCGCGTGGGGCGGGGAGAAGAGTCAGGAGGGGTGAGGTGGACGCTAAGAGGCCGCGTGGGGCGAGGAGAAGAGTCAGGAGGGGTGAGGTGGACGCTAAGAGGCCGCGTGGGGCGAGGGAGAAGAGTCAGGAGGGGTGAGGTGGACGCTAAGAGGCCGGTGGGGCGGGGAGAAGAGTCAGGAGGGGTGAGGTGGACGCTAAGAGGCCGCGTGGGGCGAGGGAGAAGAGTCAGGAGGGGTGAGGTGGACGCTAAGAGGCCGGTGGGGCGGGAAAAAGCCTACGGGTATCCCCGGAACTCCTTGCCAAACACTTCCCGTCTCCTCTAATCGTTGTTCCTTCTTCTCTGTTATTAATGTTCTTTACATCTTGCATTTATCGCTGATTACACCTGCGTTTTGAGGATTATAAATACCGTATTTAACCTCTTCCAAAGGACACGTATACGACCGAGAATTATAGATAGAAATTCCCTCACCTTACGTGGTAAGAATCCTAACGAGTTCCAAAATCCGGAGCATATGAAAAAGGGCCTTGAACCAGGTAGCCACAAGGGCTATAATTACAACAGTAGAGCGATATCTTTATCGCTGCTTGCTCATTGGGGTGAAGTGTTCGGTTGCTAGATTCATATACTACTATTATATTTTAAAAGATAAGTTCCTATATTAAATCTGTAAATGCTGGTCTGGCAGCTCTTCACTGACGGGTGTAGGCGAGCAGTTCTTCACAGACGCAGCCGTCAGCCAAGGACAAACTTAC